TTTTTTAATTATATATATATCCTTAAAAATCAGTTTTATTGTTTATGGTATTTTTGGAATATAAAACTAATGATAGTATTTTTTAGAACAAAATCAGTTTTAGTGTTTATGATATTATAAGTATGCACAGTATTTTGAATTGCTTTTTATCCATTTTCACCATTCAAACATATATTTTGGACGCTTAATCTGTTCGATCCACGTTTGTTTCGCTTGATCCGCTTTTTCCATTCGGAGAGCACTGTTTTAAATTTTATATTTGTTTGGTAATTTTGTTGTGGTTTTTATCGGTGGTACTTTTTGGCTTTTTGCACACTAGCAAAACCAGCTCTTATAACTTCATATATATTTATACACAGTACAAATATTGAGATTAGTAAAAACTTGATGGTTTATTTCCCTTGTTTCTTGTCTTCATCTGTTGAATTTACAATTTTACAGGGCTTGATACTGTTAACATTATCTTGGTTTATACCGGGATTGGAAGCTTGTCATGAAGACATGTGTGTTGAGCCAAGGAAAGCCCACGAGATAGCCTTCTTCATTGCAATCTACTTAATTTCCATAGGCACTGGAGGTCATAAGCCATCCCTTGAGAGCTTTGGAGCTGACCAATTCGAAGATGGCCATTCGGAAGAACGAAAGATGAAAATGTCTTACTTTAACTGGTGGACTGCTGGTCTATGCGCTGGTATTTTAACCGCGGTGACTGTAATCGTCTATATCGAAGACCGGATTGGTTGGGGTGTGGCTGGTATCATACTCACAATAGTCATGGCCACTTCGTTTTTTATCTTCCTTATTGGTAGACCATTTTACCGTTATAGAGCACCTTCCGGTAGCCCATTGACCCCAATCTTGCAAGTCTTTGTGGCCGCCATTGCCAAAAGGCATCTTCGTTGTCCCAGTGATTCTTCTCTTCTTCATGAGTTAACTAAAGAAGAGTATACTAAAGGCCGGCTTCTTTCCAGCACAAAGAATCTTAAGTAAGTGCATTACAACTCGGAT